TTTATTTATTTGAGATAGAGTTTCACTCTTGTCATCCAGGCTGGAGTGCAGTGGCACCATCTTGGCTCACTGCAACCTCTGCCTCCTGGGTTCAAGTGATTCTCCTGCCTCAGCCTCCCCAGTAGCTGAGACCACAGGTCTATGCCACCACACCCAGCTAATTTTTTTTTTTTTTTTGAGATGCAGTCTTGCTCTGTCGCCCAAAATGGAGTGCAGTGGTACAATCTCAGCTCACTGCAACCTGTGCCTCCCAGGTTGAAGCAATTCTCTTTCCTCAGCTTCCTGAGTAGCTGCGACTACAGGCACATACCAACATGCTCAACTAATTTTTGTATTTTTTTTTTTTTTTTGAGACGGGGTTTCGCTCTTGTTACCCAGGCTGGAGTGCAATGGCGCGATCTCGGCTCACCGCAACCTCCGCCCCCTGGGTTCAAGCAATTCTCCTGCCTCAGCCTCCCTAGTAGCTGGGACTACAGGCATGCGCCACCATGCCCAGCTAATTTTTGTATCTTTAGTAGAGACGGGGTTTCACCATGTTGACCAGGATGGTCTCGATCTCTTGACCTCGTGATCCACCCGTCTCGGCCTCCCAAAGTGCTGGGATTACAGGCTTGAGCCACCGCGCCCGGCCTGTATTTTTTTTTTTTTTTTTTGACAGAGTCTTGCTCTGTTTCCCAGGCTGCAATGCAATGGAGAGATCTCAGCTCACCACAACCTCCACCTCCTGGGTTCAAGTGTTTCTCCTGCCTCAGCCTCCTGAGTAGCTGGGACTACAGGTGCAAGCTGCCATGCCCGGCTAATTTTTGTATTTTTAGTAGAGACAGGATTTCACTATGTTGGCCAGGCTCGTCTTGAGCTCCTGACCTAGTGATCCGCCCACCTTGGCCTCCCAAAGTGCTGTGATTGCAGACGTGAGCCACAGTATCCAGCCTAATATTTTGTATTTTTAGTAGAGACGAGGTTTCACCATGTTGGCCAAGTTGGTCTCAAACTCCTAACTTGAGGTGTACTTTTCTTTTTTTTTTTTTTGAGACGGAGTTTCGCTCCTGTTACCCAGGCTGGAGTGCAATGGCGCGATCTCAGCTCACCGCAACCTCCGCCTCCTGGGCTCAGGCAATTCTCCTGCCTCAGCCTCCTGAGTCGCTGGGATTACAGGCACGCGCCACCACGCCCAGCTAGTTTTTTGTATTTTTAGTGGAGACGGGGTTTCACCATGTTGACCAGGATGGTCTCGATCTCTCGACCTCGTGATCCACCCGCCTCGGCCTCCCAAAGTGCTGGGATTACAGGCTTGAGCCACCGCGCCCGGCCGAGGTGTACTTTTCATTGTAAGTAAATGTACATACAATTACTGTACATGTTTCATTAAATTTACACTTAGTTATTTCATTTTTGAGTGACTATAATTGATACAGTATTTTAATTTTAGCATCCAAGTATTCATTGCTAATATATAGAAATACAATTGATTTTTGTATATTTTTCTTTTTTCTTGTAACCCTGCTATAATCTTCAGTTCTAGGAGGTTTTGTGTGTTTTTCCCAGTAATTACTTACGATTTTTAAATGTTGAGATCTAATTCACAAATATTGTTATACGATTTGTGTGTTAAACTAAACACATTTGTTAACCTGATTCAGTAAGAGGGCTACCATTTCATATTTTCTGACATAATGATATTGATGAACCAAATAAGACTTTCCTTCTCCTGAGACTAGAAAAGGTTTCCTAGAGAATGGAAATATAGAGGACTTAAAAGGCTGAGTGCGTCCTTAATAAAAGGACACAGACTCTTCTTCCTCCAACTCTGGTCTTAACTCCTGAGGGCATAGGAAATGAAACTCCAGATGGTTTGCAGGAATCCAAACACAGACTCCTGTGTTCCTCCTTTCCTAAATAGAGTGCAGCACAGTGATGAGACCCAATAATGTTTGTTTGTTCAGTGTGATGTAGGAGTTCCAAATTGTGTCTTGGCAGATTGGACTGAGATGGCCCCACTTAGGGGCTGAGAGTGTATTTTGTAGAGACAGCACAGAGAGTGAGAGAATTAATCTCTAGGAGCCCAAGAGGGTCACAAAAGTGGAAAGGAACTCAGTGGAATAGAAGAGATCTTAGCTGGGAATGAAAGACTACATTTATGATGGTTCCTAAAAGAGTGTAGATTCAATGAGATACTATCTCACACTAGTCAGAATGGCTGTTATTAAAAAGTAAAAAAAAAAAAAAAAAGATGTTAGTGAGGATGTAGAGATAAGGGAAAGCTTATACACTGTGTTGGTGGGCAAATAAATTAGTTAAAACTCTATGGAAAATAATATTAAAATTTCTCAAAAATAGAACTGCCATTCAACCCAACAATCCCACTACTGGGTATCTACCCAAAGGAAAAGTACTCATTATATGAAAAAGACACCTGCACTCATATGATTATCGCACCACTATTCACAATATCAAAGTTATGGAATCAACCTAACTACGCTTTGACAATGGATTGGTTAAAAAAAAAAATCTGATAGGTATACACCATGGAGTATTATGCAGTCATATAAAGTAATAAAATCATGTCCTTTGCAGCAACATGGATGCAGCTGGAGGCCGTTATCCTAAGTGCATTAATACAGAAATGGAAAACCAAATACTGCATTTTCTTACTTATAAGTGGGAAATAAACAATGAACATAAAGATGGAAACAGTAGACACTGGGGACTACAAACAGAGGGAGAGTGGGAAGGAGAGAAGTGTCCAAAAACTACCTATTGGGTAATATGTTCACTATTTGGGTGATGGGTTGAATAGAAGCCCAAACCCCAGCATTATGTAGTATATCCATGTAACAAACCTACACATATACCCACTGAATCTAAATTTTCTTTTAAAAGAAACACTATTACGAAACAAAAAGGCAAGCTACAGACTGAGAGAATTCATATGCAAAACTCATCTCCAACAAAAGACTCATGTAGGCCACATGCAGTGGCTCACACCTGTAATCCCAGTACTTTGGGAGGCTGAGGCGGCAGATGACGAGGTCAAGAGACTATGCTGGCCAACATGGTGAAACCCCCACTCTACTAAAAAATACAAAAATTAGCTGGGCATGGTGGCATGCACCTGTAGACCCAGCTACTGAGGAGGCTGAGGCAGGCGAATCACTTCAACCCAGGAGGCAGAGGTTGCAGTAAGCTGAGTTGGCGCCACAGTACTCCAGCCTGGCGATAGAGATTGACTCAAAAAAAAAAAAAAAAAAAAAAAGAAAAGAAAAAAAAAGACTTTTGTAGAAAACAAAGGAACTCAGACTTGATGATAAGATAACTTAATGAAAAATGGCAAAATACGTAAACAGACACTATGCAAATACATGTAAAGAGAGCAAACAAATCTATAAAAAGATTTGAAAAAATAATATGGCCAGGCACAGTGGCTCATGCCTGTAATCCTAGTAATCTGGGAGGCCAAGGCTGATGGGTCATTTGTGCTAAGGAGCTCAAGACTAGCCTGAGCAACATAGTGACACCCTGCTTCTACTAAAAATACATTAGCTGAGTGTGGTGGTGCTCACCTGCAGTCCCAGCTACTCAGGAGGCTAAGGAGAGGATTGGTTGAGTCCAGGAGTTTGAAGCTGCAATGAGCCAAGACTGTGCTACTGCACTCCAGCCTGAGTGACAGAGTGAGACTCTGTCTCAAACATAAATAAATAAGTAAATAATGTGGCTTCAGTTACAAATAAGATACATTTTTTTTTTTTGAGACAGAGTTTCATTCTTGTTGCCCAGGCTGGAGTGCAATGGCACCATCTTAGCTCACTGCAACCTCTGCCTACCGGGTTCAATCAATTATCCTGCCTCAGACTACCAAGTAGCTGGGATTACAGTCACGTGCCACCACACCCAGCTAATTTTTGTGTTTTTAGTAGAGATGGGGTTTCACCACATTGGTCAAGCTGGTCTTGAGCGCCTGACCTCATGATCTGCCCACCTTGGCCTTCCAAAGTGCTGGGATTACAGGCATGAGCCACTGTGCCTGGCCTTTGTTTTCTTAGATATCATATATATATATATATATATATATATATATATATATGCACACACACATGTCCAAACTTTGCCATCAATATCTATATGTCCATGATTTGTTGTTAAGGTGTTTTGTTCTGTTTTGTTTTGTTTAGAGACAGGGTACCTATCACTCTGTCTCCCAGGCTGTAGTGCAATGGTGTGATCATGGCTCACTGTAGCCTCGACCTCTGGCGCTCAAGCAGTCATCCCATTTAAGCCTCTAGAGTAGCTAGGACTACAGGCACGCACCACCACACCCAGCTAATTTTTGTATTTTTGGTAGATAAAAGCTCACTATGATGCCCAGGCTGATCTCAAACTCCTGGGCTCAAGTGATACTCTTGGTTTGGCCTCCCAAAGTGCTGAGATTACAGGTGTGAGCCACTGTGCCCGGCCTGTTAAGGTTTTTTGTTTTTGTTTTGTTTTGTTTTGTTTTGTTTTTTGACTGCTCTCTCTCTCTCTAAGCAGCTCATATACATTATACATTTTGTTTCTGGTTTATTCTCATTAAACTACATACTCTATGCAGGGCCAGACAGAGATGTTTCTTTCAATATTGTTTAAAAGCGAATGAGGAAAGATAATTCAAAGCCATCAATATGATAAAATTAAAGTTACTTTGGCAAGGTCACAGATTTTCAGCATCAGCTTTATTTGCCCTATGGATCTCTAAGGAAATATAACCTCCTCAGGGTGTTCTTGTGTATCTAAAACAGAACCACATCCTTTCCCTCTTCCCCTCCATACACATTCTCTTTTTATCCTTTTACCTCCAGTTCTTTCTCTCTATAGCAATTTATCTTCATCTGACACACTGTTTAGTAGATTCTAGGCCAGTGCTTCTAAACTCGTTCTGATTTGTTCACCAGTATAGATCCATCTCTTCCAATAGTGCCTCCTAATTAAATGTGTTAAATCAAAATACACCAAAAGAACCCCTAAAGTGATTAGTGCCCAGAATGACTACTCAATAACTAGAGTTGCCTGTGGGGTAGAAGCAACACATTAACTGTGGGGCATATACAAATGATTAACTTTTCTGAGGTTTTTTTTTTTTTTTTCTAGCTCTTTTCTCCTTTAACATGGTAATTAAAGCTCACGTGCCTGAAAGTACCCTCAATCTCAATCAACCTTTTGGTCAGTGATGGTTTCAGAGAAAATAATAAAATCATCAGTCAGCAAAAGGAGGGGGTGAAGATGACAAAGGGAAAAGATTTAAGCAGTAGCCTCACTAGGACATTCCCTGGCTAGGTGTCCGGGTTTGCCACAGCGGTAGCAGTTGACTTGGATCGCCTTGCTGCAACTGATGGCCATGTGGCCGGTCTCGCCACATCTGTAGCACTTGACCTTGGCGCAGTCTTTCTGAATGTGCCCAAGTTGGCCGCAAGCATAGCATTTCTGCTCTTTCTGACGATCACAGTCACAAGCCAGATGTCCTGGTCTGCCGCAGGTATAACAGCATTGGTCTCTCTCTCGTTTAGGTTCGTTACAGTCTTTGGCGATGTGGCCGCTTCTCCCACAGTTGTAGCAGATGTTTCCGAGGACACAGTTCTTAGCTTGATGACCAGACTCACCGCAGCGGTAACAGGTGTATGATAGGGACGTGGAACTGCATTGAGAACCTCTGCCATGGCCTCTACCTCCTCTCCCTCCAGCTCCTCCTCTAGGGCATCCCCGGGCCGAGTAGCCAGCGCGTCCACACGTGAAGGAATCGTTACTACTCATGGCTGTGGTGCGATCTTCCAGTGAGCAGGCCCACCTCGGCCCGGGAGGCCACAGCGCAACTCCCCTTAGGGCAGCTTAGAAAGAAATACCTGTTTTCCTCTAGGGTTCTCAGTGATGTCATACAAGGTTTGCACACGGCCCCATTCACGTGTCACCGGCATTCTGGAGGCCCTTCCTGCCTGACTTTCCTCCTACTCAAGAAGCCAAAACCATAATAATCTATTAACTGAGTAGTGTTGTTTTCTGTTTTTTTTGTTTGTTTGTTTCGACACTTGGGTCGTTGAATTTGAATCCCTTCCTATTCAGAAAATTAGACTTGTCCGTTTTCATAATTTAAGACTTAGGCTTTCTCTGTGGTCTAGTTTATGATCAGTTCTTATATATGTGCTAAGGACATGGGAAAGAATGTGTGAGATACATGTAATGCAATAAGCAAAAGAAAAAAATAATAAGAAATTAGAGTTACTAATTTTTTGATTTAAAAAATAACTGTCCATAAAGATAAGAGATACATAAGATAGAAAAATGCCACAGTGAAAAGACTTATGCATAATTTAGCCCATCTTATTGCAAGAATCTTAGCTTTCAATATAATCACTATCATTTAAGTTGTAAAACATAACAGGATTGAAGCATTCAGTAAAAAAAAAGTGTTATTATTTGGAAAATAAAAACTACAAAACCAGGCCAGTTGTGGTGGCTCACAGCTGTGGAGGCCAAGGAGGGAGGATTGCTTGAGCCCAGGAGTTCGAGATCAACCTTGGCAATATGGCAAAACCCCATCTGTACTGAAAACAAAAACAAAATAAAAAAAAAACCAAAAAACCTTAGTTGGAAGTGGCACATTAGCTGGAAGTGGCAGATGGTGCCTGTAGTCCCAGCTACTTGGGAAGCTGAGGTGGGAAGATCACCTGAGTGGGAAGGTCAAGGCTGCAGTAAGCCGTGATTGTGCCACTGAACTCCAGCCTGGGTGACAGATCAAGACTCTGTCTCAAAAAAAAAAAAAAAAAAAAAAAAAGAAAGAAAGAAAGAAAAAAAAAACCTACAAAACAAGATACATTTAAGTAATGGACAGATTTCCTCTCTGTTGCTCTCCAAGTTGTTTGTACCTAATATAAGTTTCACAAGGATTTATGGACATGTTGCACATTCGTATAGATACAGAAATAAGTATAGGAGGCTGGGTATCGTGGCTCATGCCTGTAATCCTAGCACTTTGGGAGGCGCAGGCAGGCAGATCACTTGAGTAAAGGAATTTGAGAGCAGCCTGGGCAATGTGGAGAAACCCTGTCTCTACTAAAAAATACCAAAAAATTAGCGAGGTTTGGTGGCTTGCACCTATATATAGTCCCAGCTATTTGGGGGTGCTGAGGTTGGAAGATCCCTTGAACCCATGAGGTAAATGTTGCAGTGAGCCATGATCATTATTGGGCCACTGCACTCCAGCCTGGATGACAGACCTGTTTCAAAAAAAAAAAAAAAAAGTATGGAAAATTAACACTGAAACATCAACAGTAGCTGTTTTGGGTTATAAGACTGATTATGATTTTTTCCCTCCTCATTTTTCTTCCTTGTATTTTTCAATTTTTGAAATGAGATTAGGCTTTGTACTTTAAAAAATCTATAATACGCTTTTTCTTTAATAGTTAGATGTTTTGCATGTGAATTTTTTTCAGACATCCAGCACAAATGTTTTGGTAAAACCAGACATAAGAATACTGAATGTAAAAAAAAAAAAAAAAAAAAAAAGAATACTGAATGTAGCAATTGGCCTTTATTTTCAGCATGACTTAATTGCAATTCGAAACTGCCTCCTTAAATGCAACCACAAGAAACATCTTTTTGAAAATTAAAGTTGAGAGCCATGTAGCATGTATAGTTGCCACATAAAGTGTATGCAGTTTGAAGAAATGAATTTGATTCCTAAACAATGAAATGGTGTTGCATAAATGGTAACAAAGGTTAAAAATTTGATATACCCTTGTTAAATTAGCCCTTTTTTGGTCTTCTTTTTTTTTTCCTTTTTGTGGAGAATGGGTTCTCAGTATGTTGCCCAGGCAGGTCTCAAACTCCTGGGATCAAGCTATCCTCCCACCTCTGCCTCCCTAAGTTCTGTGATTATAGGCGTGAACCACCTTGCTCAGCAAACTAACTTTATTAATTATCATGTTGAAATTCCCTTTAGGTTTATATTTTAATTAAAGCTATACATGATTGAGACAATGTATTAAATCCATTTTTTGTCACAGTAGAGAATATATATGTTTATGTGGATCTTTTTTATTTAAATTTTTAAAAATTTTTAATGTTTGTGTGTATATAGTAGGTATGTATCTTTATGGATTACATGAGATATTTTAGTATAGCCATGCAATGCTTAATAATAACATTATGGAAAATTGGGTGTCCATCCCCTCAAGCATTTATCCTGTGTGTTAGAAACAATCTAATTATACACTTTTTGTTATTTTTAAATGTATACTTAAATTGTTATTGACTATAGTCACCCTATTGTGCTATCAAATACTAGATTTTATTCATTTATTCATTCATTTTTTTTTTTTTTTTTTTTTTTTAAGACAGTGTTTCGCTCTGTTGCCCAGGCTGGAGTGCAGTGGCTTGATCTCAGCTCACTGCAGCCTCCGCCTCCCGAGTTCTAGCGATTCTCCTGCCTCAGCCTCCCCAAGTAGCTATGACTACAGGTGCGGGCCACCACATCCGGCTAATTTTTTTGGTATTTTTAGTAGAGATAGGGTTTTGCCATGTTGGCCAGGCTGGTCTGACTTCAGGGGATCTGCCCACCTTGGCCTCCCAAAGTGCTGGGATTACAAGTGTGAGCCACTGCTCCTACCCATTTTTTCTAACTACTTTTTTTGGTATCCATTGACAATCCCCACCTCCTCCACAACCCCCTACTACCTTTACCAGCCTCTGGTAACCATTCCTCTACTCTCTATCTCCATGAGTTCAATTATTTGATTTTTAGAACCCACGCAAAAAAAGTGAGAACATGCCATGTTTGTATTTTCTGTGCCTGGCTTATTTCACTTAACATAATGACCTCCGGTTCCATCCATGTTGTTAAAAATGACAGAATCTCATTCATTTTTATGGCTAAATAGTACTCCATTGTGTATAAGTACAATGTTTTCTTTATCCATTCATCTGTTGGTGGACACTTAGGTTGCTTCCAAATCCTGGCTACTGTGAATAGTGCTGCAACAAACATGGGAGTACAGACATCTCTTTGGCATACCGATTTCCTTTCTTTTGGATGTATGATCCAGCAGTGGAATTGCTGGGTCCTATTTAGCTCTATTTTTAATATTTTGAGGATGCTCCAAACTGTTCTCTATAGCGATTGTACTAACTTACATTCTCACCAACAGTGTAAGGGGGTTTCCTTTCCTCCATACCCCTGCCAGCATTTGTTTTATCAAACTTTTGGATAAAATCCATTTTATCTGGGGAAAGATGATATCTAATTATATCTTTGATTTACATTTCTCTGATGGTCAATGATATTGAGCACATTTTCATATGCCTGTTGGATATTTGTATGTTTTCTTTTGAAAAATGTTTATACAAAACTTTTGCCCATTTAAAAAATTGAATTAAGTTTTTCCCTACACACTTGTTTGAGCTGTTTGCATATTCTGGTTATTAATCCCTTGTCAGAGGGGTGGTTTGTGGTTTGCAAATATTTACTCCCCTTCTGTGGGTCATCTCTTCACTTTGTTGGTTGTTTCCTTTGCTGTGCAGAAGCTTTAGAACTTGGTGTAATCCTATTTGTCCATTTTTGCTTTGGTTGTCTGTGCTTGTGGGATAGTACTCAAGAAATTTTTGCCCAGACCAGTGTCTTGGAGTTTCCCCAATGTTTTCTTGTACTAGTTTCATAGTTTGGAGTCTTATATTTAAGTCTTTTTTTTTTTTTTTTTTTTTTTTTTTGAGACTGAGTTTCGCTCTTGTTACCCAGGCTGGAGTGCAATGGAGCGATCTCAGCTCACCACAACCTCCGCCTCCTGGGTTCAGGCAATTCTCCTGCCTCAGCCTCCTGAGTAGCTGGGATTACAGGCACACGCTACCATGCCCAGCTAATTTTTTGTATTTTTAGTAGAGACGGGGTTTCACCATGTTGACCAGGATGGTCTCGATCTCTTGACCTCGTGATCCACCTGCCTCGGCCTCCCAAAGTGCTGGGATTACAGGCTTGAGCCACCGCGCCCGGCCCATATTTAAGTCTTTAATCCATTTTGATTTGATTTTTGTGTATGGCAAGGGTCTAGTTTCATTCTGCATATGGATATCCAGTTTTCCCAGCACTACTTATTGAAAAGACTATCCTTTCAGCCTGGTGCGGTGGCTCACGCCTGTAATCCCAGCACTTTGGGAGGCTGAGGTGGGCGGAGCACCTGAGGTTGGGAGTTCAAGACCAGAATGACCAACATGGAGAAACACCCGTCTCTACTTTTAAAAAATGCAAAATTAGCTGGGTGTGGTGGCACATGCCTGTAATCCCAGCTACTTGGGAGGCTGAGGCAGGAGAATCACTTGAACCCAGGAGGTGGAAATTGCAGTGAGCCGAGATCACATCATTGCAGTCCAGCCTGGGCAACAAGAGCAAAAACTCCATCTCAGAAAAAAAAAAGACTGTCTTTTCCTCACTGTATGTTTCTGGCAATTTTGTTAAAAATGAATTCACTGAGCCAGGCACGGTGGCTCAAGCCTGTAATCCCAGAACTTTGGGAGGCCGAGGCGGGTGGATCACGAGGTCAAGAGATCGAGACCATCCTGGTCAACATGGTGAAACCCCGTCTCTACCAAAAATACAAAAAATTAGCTGGGCATGGTGGCATGTGCCTGTAATCCCAGCTACTCAGGAGGCTGAGGCAGGAGAATTGCCTGAACCCAGGAGGCGGAGGTTGTGGTGAGCCGAGCTCGCACCATTGCACTCCAGCCTGGGTAACAAGAGCGAAACTCTGACTCAAAAAAAAAAAAAAAAAAAAAAATGAATTCACTGGCCAGGCATGGTGGCTCATCCTTGTAATCCCAGCACTTTGGGAGTACAAAG